CCTGACGGAACTACAATATCTTGAGAGTTTTTGTTTGAGGTTGCAATCTGGGAAAATAGCAGAAAGTGAAGCATTTTTGATTTCATCTTGAAATGTGTTTTCAATTGAGGAAATTTCAGTATTTAAGTTAACATTAGATAAGCGGTCCAATAACAACTGGAATATAAAACCATTAATTTTTAAAACTACATTGTCCTAACTTTCAAAAATTACGGAAAGGTGGCGACTGTTGCCTAGATATACATCGTTCATAATTTTCCATTGAGCAATTAATTGAGTAGAATTTGAAAGAGTTTGATCTAACGAGCTTTCAGGACTCAGACCACCAATTTTCAACAATTAGAAAATTTTCCTCACATTCCAATTTTTGAAATAAGATATTTTCTGTACTCATTATATTGTTAATTTGTTCCTTTTGCTTTCTTTTCGTACAGTCTTTGCTACGAATGTGGTCAGAAGATACATCACAAGCAAGATATTGCGAGGTTAGTCAGTTTCTCGTTTTGGATGAAACCTAATGCATGGCGCATATCGTTAGGTATACGCTCCTCATCTGATCTCAATGTTGAAATTATTATTATATCGCGTTCCTAAAAAAAACCAAGCGAAAGCAACACTAGTATTAATTCCAACATTAGTGTAAATTTACGAAGGTTGTATTTGTCCTTGGAATTCCACCACAGTACCAATTTTAGGCATTGCTACGTTGGCATCAACAAATAGTTTGCGCAAATATTCAGCTTGTTTTATGTACGATGTTAATGCCGATGGATTCCGGTTTAACGTTCTTACGATACAATTTAACTGTCATTAGGAAAACTTTCGAAAATGAAATAAATGTTATGAAATACCAAATAGAAGGGATTGTGCTTTTAAACTAAATACAACTTACCTTCTTCGTTTCGTAAGGATTATACCACGATGGAGAGTCTTTTTCACTGCATATCTTTAGAACGTACTCCGTGGAAGAATATGCCAAATGCTTTGGGTCGATTTGGTGATTGCGGCAGTAAGTCGTCAAGTTGCTTTAGCATTTGCGCTTCCCTAGAATTCTCTTCTCTTATCATTGGTATCAACAGTTCATTATAAGCATTCACTATAGAGGGCAACGCCCGGCATATTCGTTTATAATGGCTGCTTGCAATTGATAGGGATCTCCAACAAGGATTACCTGGCCACGCTCTTTTGATACTTAAGCAACAGCAACCATAATTTCAGGTTGTGTGCACTGGCCTGCCTCATCAATTAGCACATGAGTAAAATGGTTTGGTGGAAAACACATTTGCAAAAAATTTCCTAGGGTGGCGCAAATACCAATCGTTACTCGATGGCGCCCTAAATACTTCATTTGACATTTTAGTTTGAATCCGGACTTGGTCACAATCATCTCGTCTTCACAGTAGCAATTTAGGCCAGTATACCAGTATTTGTCACCTGCTAGGCAAAACGGCATCAAATGCTCTGGTATGAGTTCTTTTTTGAGCTCCTTGTGGGATACTAGATGTATAAGCTCACCCATTTCGAGTACATCGGATTCGATCAAACGCGTCGTTATTAAACCAGCGGAGCTATTGGAGGGTGTGCACACAAGCAGACGTACACCGGGTACCAATTTAAAAATTTGTAAAATGGTCTCCACTAGCAATGCCGTCTTTCCTGTGCCAGGGGGTTCGAAAATCACGTATGTCATGTTAAAAACTTCTCCTCGTAGTATATTTGCTACGGCTTTTTTCTGCATAGAGTTCAGTATGGAATTGTACCATCTACTCCGGCAATTGTCTAACAAGAGGTTTTCCTAATCATTTAATTTTATATCCAATGGTGGGTATCCACGCGTCTTTGCTCGGGAGAGAAATAAGAACTGTTCGCCTAATTTTTCAGCCGCTCGTGAGCTGGCGTAGTGCTGTTTACGGTAGCAATAACGCCAGAAGTAAAATTCTAAGCAATAATTGCCGTAGTTATATGTTTGCTGAAAGTTGTGATCGAATTTAAGTAGAATGCGATTGCGAAGCACTTTGTGAATCACTCCTTAATACGTAGGTTCGTCGTTTTCACTATCGGCCCAGGGGTCTTTCGCTTTGACAATATCTCCAATTCTTAGCGAAGGGCGACGTTCGGGAAGATTTTCCATGACCAGAGCTAAATACTTTCCCTCACGTGTGAAATGTGCCCGTTCACGGTCATACATGCGGAGATTAACAAAACCCTCCACCTCCTCTAAATATAAAAGTGTTTGAAAGCGATTTACGTCGTTGCTTATGTTTAATTCTTCTTTCAGACTCGGGGACACATTTTCCAAAGTGTCCTTTTTGCAACCCGCAGTAACATACGCTCGTTTTAATGGTTCGGGTACATCAAAGCTTCCGATAAGATGTCTGGATTGCAACTGCAAATCAATTAAATTTAAAAAATTAAAGTAAATAAATTATAGTGAAATCATAATTAACTCTGCGGTTTTGACGCATCTTACTCTTCCACAGAGTGCAGCTATTTTATGACGGAATGTTAAGTTAGTTGGTGCAAGCGACCGACCGCATTTTCTGCTTACGAAAAGCCAAAAACAAATTTATTTATTGCAATTTAACGAATATAAAGTACATCTTCCATTCTGATTCATAGCCATATGATTATTTAAATCTTGAGTTTAGCCGAAATCAATACTCTCTACTTTGTGATATATATTCAAGATTTCAACAATGTTATTGTTCACGCGATCCACATCCCCTATCGAAACGTAATGCGTTTATAACACTTGCACCCATTGTTGTTTTGGACAAAACACATCAAAATGAATCGGTTAGAACCGGACCAACCAATATTCGCATTGAATTGAAACCTTCAAGTAACATACCATCTAATACATCTGCCTAATATTTAATTATACATAATAAAATATTTGACTCTGTACTCCTTACAAATGAAGTAAGAAAAATATTGTAAATTGTAATAAAGTAGTAATGGATTTTAACAACAGAAACAGTTCCTTTCTCTCCATGTAACTTTAGATATATCATTTACTTTTTAAGCATTATATCTTTAAACATAGCAGTGCACGTTTGTCAAACAGGGAGGTATTGTAATGGAAATAAATATATATTTTTGCTTCTTATATTGAAAATAGTGATTAGTTCACTATTACTACTCCTCATGCATATTCGCATTTAAAAAGTGTACTATGCAATTTAATTCTACCCAACGATGATGTTCTCAAAACTAATATCTCATTTGTTAAGATGAAAGTAATCGAAACACTGGAAACTAACGACAATGATTATCCTTTGATTAAAAGATGAAGGTGATGTTACAACGTTAACAACTAGTACATCATCACCTATTGAAACACCGACAACGCAACAAGAACAACAGAACCCACACTATTAAAATATTTTTTAATAGATGATGCATTTGGAAGCACATAGAGGCATTTCTTCAATTGCTAATCAATTCCGAAATAGATGTGGGTGGTATACTGGACATTTTAATCTCAAATATGAAAATATTAATGTACCTATTCGTTATACTTATGAAAGAAAGTATCTATGAGAAAAGACAATTAAAAATAAATTGCTTTGAATATCGCGAATTTGAACAAGAGAAAATATTATATAGTGGTGAAATTGAGAAGGTTAGCATACCAGACTTATCGCGAAGGTTACAGAACATTCGAGTAGTTGACTTAATAGATTATACTCAAATGTATAAAATGAATATTATGTGAGGAT